AGATTTACAACACAAAAGTTTATAAAGCCATCGAAAAGGTTTGACTCAAATAATTAAAGTAGAAGGTCTAGTTCTGCCTAACTTTCTACCAATTGCCTAGTTTTCTCTTGGATCCCTGAAGTAATTAATACACTTCATTCTTTGACAGTGGTTGAAATGATGACTCCCTTTTCATTGATGCGAAAACAAAAACTAAACTCATAGCCATGGACTCGACTCAAACTCGCAGTGTCCCTCTAGGACAGAATGGAACTGCCCCTGTTGGTTTCTGAGACCGTAACTCTTTACAGGAGTAAAAAATATCATCTTTCTCCCACCCACAGGGCAGTGGTGGGTTTGAACCAATGATTCTGTGGTTAGCACCCTAACTCATAACAATCTATACCAACAAGTTTCCTCTCTTACTGATACATTATTGTTACTTTGTTTTTCCACTCTTCTAAACATTTATAAAGCATGTAGAGGTCGACATGTAATATCACAGCATCCATTTACTACTTCTTTTTCTAGGAAATAGTGTATGTGATAAAAAACAGAGACTGGAGTCAAAAGACCTGATCCATGACTGACCATGATTTTATACAAGCCACTTAGCTTCTATTTACTTTTTTTATAATAATATTTTCTTACTGAGATTATCTCATGTATATGAAAAATTTGTTTAAGTGTAAAAGAGTAACATGAATTTTAAAAGTTAATAAAACATATGTACCACAATATACAGTCCAATGAAATAAATTTTCTTTGTTGTCCCCTTAGAAGTTTAGATTATATAAGGAAAGAACAAAGGATTTTGAATCTAGTCTTATTTATAAAGAGCCAGTCACATATCTTTTAAGTAAACATATCATTTATTTATGTTTTTAATAATGAAGAAACTGGGTAGGGGAAAATCAATCCAATTAAACATTAAAATAATTTTATTAACATAGTATTTTCAGAGAAAAAAATTCACTTAATAACAATATCACCACGCTGAATTTCACAGTTAAACCCACAAGAAAATTGTTACATTACATTACAGAATATGTTTAATGAAATGTTGTAAATATAAAAATAATTTAATATACTCTCCATTTAGCACATCGTACAAAATTAACTTTTCAATGGAATTTAAACATTCAAAATCTTTCCCATAAGGTGCCATGCACTAACAAGTGCTTTGTGACATTGAGGTTGAAATCAGGATAAGTACTGGAGAGCTCCATAGTGCTGCTGTTTAGTAATATATGAACTTGGGCAAAATGTAGCTGAGCTCTGCTCCTGACAGGAAGTGGACAACAGACACATATGACAGTCCATGCTTCAAATGGAAGTGGAACAGAGGAACAGCCTACAGACATCATCGTCATAATAAAATAAGTTTAAGGGTGAACATGCAATTTTT